GGCGCGAGCCTGCAGCCGGGCTCCTCTCGTAGGGAGCGCTGAGGCAAAGGTGTGACACCTCTGAGGACGGTTAGCGTGGCCAGGCGGGAGGAAAGGAGACGGGCAGCAGCAGGCCAGCAACAGCACGTGTAGATAAGACACCACCAACACTGGGCACGTCCCTGTGTGGGCTGGTCACCACGGGAGGACAGAGAACTGTTCACTTCCAGGCTGCAGCAGAGCTGTGGGCAGGTGGAGCCTTACGTGGGGCAGGTGAAGCTGCAGCAGGGCTGTCGCGCGGGTCTGCACCCTCCGCGGTGTGGGACGGGAGGGTCACAGGAGGCTGTGGATCTTTCTCAAACATCCTCGTCAGAAAATACAGCGTCCGCCCTCTGCTAGCAACCCTGCTGTGACTGTCATTGCAGTGCTGGCTGTGGGAGAACAGGAGTCATCTGTGCGATCGACTACACCCAGAAGCTGCTGAAGGACGGAGTGAGTGTCAGCCCGGTCTGTGTCTCCGAACGGCGCCTGCATGCAGCAGCGCTGCACCTCTCTGTCTCTCCCTCACCTTCTCTCTCCCCTTACTCTCCCTTCCACCCCACTCTGACTGCATGTAGATGTGTTCTAGATGACAGCCATGAATGGGAACTCCCTGCAGCCTGGCTGGAGAACGGTGGTGGCCAAACCGCTGATACCCCATTCCCAGCGTGTGCTGCTTCTCTCTCTTTAGGCTCTGCATCATCCATGCACTGCTCATTGCTGTTGCTCCCCTCCCCATCCTGATGCGAGCAGCCCCCGATGCTCATCCCAATGGGGCAGAATCCTCCCTCCCGTTGCTCCCTCCTCTGATCACGGAGCTTGGCTCTGTGCTGGCCTTCAGTCTTCAATACAACTTTACTGCCTACGTTTGCCTCTTTGCACTTAAGCATCAGAAATTCAGTGCTTCCAAACTAACACCTTGCTTTACTCTGACTCTTCAATAAAAATGTATGTGAAGTAATCCCTGGCCTTGCAGCAGGTTGCTGGGTCTCGGAGGAGTGGCTGCTTTTTGTGCCACAGCAACCCTGAACACATTGGTCTGGGAAATCGGTGCCTTGTCCTTTGTGCTACTCACAGCTGTTATCAGTGCTCTTATAAAAAAGGGTATTTTCTGTGGAGTGCAAGACAGGAGGGAGGAGGCAAGCTGGTTCGTAACAAAAATAGCACTTTAAGCAGGTCCTTTGTTAAAAATTCTCGCAATGGCAGGCCTGAATTTCAGACACTGCTCTAAACTGCATCTCAACTTGGAAGTTGCTTGGAATTAGACCCGTCTGTAATTTTTTGTCTTTTCTCTTTCTTGCAAGATCATTCCAGTGAACTTCAGTATTTTTAGTCTGATCCAGGAGATGCGCACACAAAGGCCTTCCATAGTGCAGACCAAGGTACGTTTGGGAGATGTCACAAGCAGGAATACTATCCATACCGGGACCTCAGCTTTTTCCCAGGAGGGTTCACAGTAAGGAAACACAGAGCGGTAGTGCTGCTGGGAACGAGGGCGTGTAGGTGTTCTGTAAGGTCCCTTTTTTGAACAGAAGAATGATTTGCAGAAATGAGTTTAGTAGCTGACCGTTTCCTTGTAGACAGCTGGGATAACTCGGTGCTTGCAGACTGATTTATCGAACGCTTACGCTGTAAAACAAGGAACTGTCCAGGAAATAAATAAAGTGGGAACTCTTCTCAGCTGAGATAGACTGAAAAGGAAGCTCAATGCAGAACAGCGTTGTTTGTGTACCCGAAAAAAACCCCAACAGCTTCAGTCTGAACCCTTTGAAAGTTGTGGCTTCTACTCTTCTGGGAACTTACCCTGCCCACGGACTGTAAAGTGGCAGCTTCTGCTTGGGGGCTGATGCTTGACCTGGGTAACAGGTGACCATTTACAAGTACAGCAGGTGCTGGCTCTCACGTCTCTTTTATTTGTCTGGAACGCAGGAGCAGTATGAGCTGGTTTATGATGCCGTGATTGAGCTCTTCAAAAGGCAGATTAATGCACTTGAAGCCCAGGAAGATTCTGCTGCTTCACAGGTAAAAGTGCCCAGGATAAACACACTGCCTCTTGCAGCCTCGGGCATGCCAGCTCTAACCTAGATTCCTGCTGCAGACCTGGAATGAATCCCTGTGTTTTCTGCTACCGTTGACGCCCAAACTGAGCCTCTTTGCGAGTTAACCCGCGAGGATCCAGCTGTTCCCCTGAACGTGCAATGCGCATCGCAGGGTGTGGCCCCAAGCAAAAGCTGAATTTTCTTGGGTCTCAGAGCCTTTTTCTCTATACTTTTACAATTGTGTAATGTAATGAGTGACAAGAAAAGCACCAACTTTCTACAGTAGCTGCTGATTTCCATGTGGATGAGCCCATGAAACTTGTCTTCATGGGGTGCTTGAGAAGCTTGGGCACACAAGGCGGTACGGCTAAAAGTGCTAGTCTGCAACACGGTGGTACTCCAGTGAGGTGATTAGCATTGCAGCCTGCCTGTGGGAGAGAGGAGGCTAAAATAGCTTGTGAAAAAACACATCAAAGTCTTCCAAATCTGATACACCTCTGAGGAAAAACAATGTGGTCTTGGTATGAAGTTGCACATAAACAAGAACACCCAAAACGTCCATGGTTAAGCTTCTCTTTGCTCTTGCTGTTCTTCTGTGACTGCTGGCATGAACCTTACCTTTCCTGTGTAGCTGTTTGCAATCTGGCTGAAGTAAATGCATCACCATTCTTAGGCAAAGGCTGAAAGGCTACAGTTAGCTTATTTTGTCAGAAACTTTTGTCTAAAGAATTGGGAACAGGATCCTGCAATGGGACTTATGCCTCAGTTTTGCCTTGGGATTTGCAGGATGTCCCAAGCCAGAGCTGAGTGAGGAAGGAGCTGGAAAGAGCCTCTTCCTATGTGTTGTGGACAGCCTATAAGCAAAGGAGATGCAAGGCTAGGTTGACACAAAATGCAGAAAACGGTTCAAGTCCGGATGTGGTTTTGTAGCTCCTGGCCAAACCTCTCGCCCGTCTAAACCTCACTGCCCTCTGAAAGCACTTTGCAGCGCGTGGGGGATGGTCGTGTGCTGAAGTGTCACAAATGAAACCAGCGTCCGACTTGCCAGGCTGAACGCCCGCGTGGCGTCCTGAAGGCAGAGCTGTCTGGGCAGGCTGGTCCGCAGGTGTTTGGAGCACCTGGATGGCTGTACTCTCAGTCCAAAAGGTGCTCACAGGAACTGCTGTTCGGGAGGTCCCGTTTTCAGCTCCAACTTGGTGCTTTCAAGTTGGTGTTTGTCATTTCCAAGCTGCATTAATAATTAGAAGTAGTTGGCACAAATTCCAGCTCCTGGAACAGCACGTTTGTGCTCTTTGCATTCTTCCTCCTCACTCTTGTTTTCTAACCTTTTCCTTCACTAGGTACAAGCGAGGCATCCCGTAGCCAAGCCACTTCTGACTCCAGTGGAAGATATTTATTCTCTGAGATTACTAACCTGGTAAGGCCATAGCACAAGTATGCCCGGGGTTAGTATTCTCAGTCACCCATACGATGTCAGGAAGATGCATTGTTTTATGTGTGCTTTGTGACACAGTCCTGGTTGAACGTTGCATTTCAGTTGTCAGCAGGATCTGCAGCCTCCCTTGAGCCCCACTTCAACTCTCACGTTTGTTCCTAACCTAATTCCTGCTCTTCTCAGTGATGTGTCCCTGAGACTGAGTCTCAGCTCTTCCCTGTGTGCCATTAGCTGCCCCCCTCTTCTGCCCTTGGGTCTGTGTCATGTTGTGCTCACGCAGTGTTTCACATATGAACTGAAAAGACATCCCAGGGCCGTACAGAAAACGGCTCACCCACGTGGAGACACCCCAGTGCGGGCTGATCTCAGCCCTCTGCCTGGAGCTGTGCACCCTGCAGCGTGCCCCCAGACCAGTCCCATCTTTCTTTGGCACGTGCCACTCCAGTGCCTCTCGCTGCAGGAAGAGCAAGCCTGGGGAGTCGAGCTTCCCAACATCGGCAGCTTCAGGGGGTGGAGGGATCTCTCTGGGGGCATGTTTTGGTTTGCATCGTCCGCTTTCTGTAAATAACTTTGCTTTTTGGTATAGTCCACACTGAGGGTGTAGTTCACCCACGTAAAGAGGCCATTTAATGGTGTTAAACGGGGCACCAGGGTGCGCAGTCCTTCCCCGTGCTCCTTGCTTGAGGCTGAACCAGGCTCTACGTTCCTGGATCTGCTCTTAGGAGCAATGTTGTAGGGCCCTGTTTGTAGGCTAACGGAGATTTCTGGGTACTAGACGGCTTTGACTTCACATCACGGTGCTTTATTGCAGCTCAGAGCAGGAGGAACAGGATGTGCATCAACGCCTTCCTCCGGTGGTACAAAGCAAAGCGTCCCCAACCTTGTCTGCCGCGGGAGCACATGACAGCTCTGGATGTGGAGTCCCTCCCATCAGACAGGCCATCTCCTTCGGCACTTTGAACTTCATCAACTGCAGAAAGGCAGCTGCAGCTGATAGGTGGGGTGCTGGGGACGTTCTTCAGAAACACCGCAGTTTGGAGTTCACCAGCGTCTCTCCTGAGCGGCTGCTCCTGAACCTGGAACCGAAGGGCGCAGGCAGGAGAGGGGCTGGTGGCAGAGCAGCTCTGACACGGACTGCATCGACGCCTTTTGTGCTGGCGCAGCAGGGAGCAGGCTGGGGATGGGATGGAGGGGATGAAGAGCCCGTTTTGAGTTCACAGTTGCCAACTGCCTGTTACTCAAGCTTTCAGGTGAAGAAGCAGGACAGATCTTCTCCTGTTGAGCCGAACCACTTAAGCCGAGACACGGGCGGCCCCCCGAGCCTCAGGAACCGTGGGCAATGTCCTTACCCTTACTTCTGCTCAGCAGAAGACCCCTACTTCTCTTCGCTTTCTCCAGATGAGCCCGAGCCCCCGGTGTTTGCCGAGTGCCTTGTGGAGGGGCAGGATGATCTTCTCCCCTCTTGTGCTGCGAGTGCCCCGCTGCAGCCTGCCATGGCCAGCTCCCCACTGCCCAGGCCTGTGTCCCACCACACTCCCCTGCTGAATGACGAGAGGATCTCCTCCCCGAGTAAGTGGTGCAGCACTGCGACAAGCTGGGCTTGGTCACTGGATTGTGGTGGGCTGGAGGGAATGGCGAGTGCTGTCAGTTGGCGTCCAGGCAGGGCTGCAGCCGCTCCTCGGGGCTGCATTCGCGTGGGAGCTCGGGGAGCAACTGGTTCCATCCTCACACTCGTTTCATCCTGCCTTAAATTTTTCCCAGAAAAACAAACAATGCTTTTAGAGCGCCGTGATGTTGGGTTTTGCATTACACAGCTGCTCTGGACCGCTGCGTCAGCTCGGTACGGCGCTCACAGGAAGGCAGGATTGGCGCTGACCAGTTCTTAGAACAGGGTGCTCCAAGAAGCATTCAGAAAGCTCCCAGAAATGGTTTTCTCTGAGGATCTAGTTTCCAGGTCAAACCCCACTCCCTTCTGCAGAGCATTGTGGAGGGGGACGCTGACATCCCACTGAGACTGAGGGAACCAGGACTTCGACATTAGTGTTTTGCCCAGATCTGTGGCCTTAAAACCATCACCTGCCATAAGAAGGTAGAATTATTCCTTGGTCTGATCGGTTCTGGCCCAGTCGGACACTTCCCATTGTCCACAGCTTTGGCATTGGCTCAGCTTTGTCCCGCTCGGGACCTTCAGCATTCAGCATCACCAAAGGGTGCCTGTTATCTAGATGCTAGAGACTCTCGGGAAGTCATGGGAGCTGCAGCACGAGCCAAGCAGCTGTGCTGCCAGCTGTGAGCTTGGCGGAGTGCGGGGGGTACACTTGTCCCTTTTCCCCCTGCAACGGGAATTCTGCTGCCGACACTGCTGGAAGTCTGCCCTTGGGGCCACGTAGCTGGCAGCCAGTGAATTGGTGCTGAGGGCTCCTTGGATTTTCAGCTCCCGTTCAGAGGTGTTTAACTGCCATCTCTGGGGTGCGGCGGGGAAGGAGCGGTCAGCTCTCAGGGTCTCTACAAAGGTCTGTAGTTCTCCCGCTGTGTCGTGCCATGCAGGTAACCTGTCCGTGTCTCCCCAATTAGCCACCCTGCCACAGCCAGATGATGATGATCCTCCGCCCCTGCCTGAGCGAACCCCCGAGTCCTTTATCGTGGACAGTGAATCTGGTAAGTGCGTTTAACAGGGCAGGGGCCAGGAAGCGATCTGAGGGGTCTTCCCATGTTTGTGGGGTACCGTGGCATCCGGCAGCGCCTTTGCTCTGGCTGCCTGGGATGAGAAATGACTCTCTTGTGTTCAACTGTTTCTAGGACAGTTTCCTCTGGCCACTTCTGATTTTCAGCTTCCAACCAGAAACACAAATATTGGAACCTCTTTGGAGTGGAGCGGTGAGTCTCACTCAGAGGTGTTTAACAACTCAGTGAGACTGAGGCCATGTAAGGTTAGTAAGTGGCTTTTAATCTCTTCTCCAGCAGCATCACTATGCCAATTTCCTTATCATGTTTCCTTCTGTAAGACTCTAGTTCTGGCACCGTGTACTTTCCACAAATTATTTCAGGGTTCAGGACTGGGAGGAAGACGCGGTCTCTGTCAGGCTCCTCCTTATCAACATCTACTTTACTCCAAACATTATTTTTTGGGGTCCTAAATCCCATACAAGGTAGTAGAAATATTGTTCCTCTTTTAGAGAAGGATAATGAAGACAGGAAGTTAGTGGTCTGCTGAGGTTCACACCGCCCTATGGAATAGGCAGGAGCTGAACAAAATTTATGCATCTCTTGATCACCCCACAGTTGAATTATAGCTTTGTAAAGTGAAACGATAAGGCATGAGTCTGTCTTCCATTACATGAGCATGGAGGTGTGCGGGGGAGGGTTTGCACTTAACATCATTTCCTCGTCTTCTCTGGCTTGTTTGTGCACGAGAGAATGACATTTGGCTGTGGGAATTTCAAATACCTTCCTTGTTTTTTATTTCCAGAGTGTGAAGCTTCGGAGCCCGCAAACAGGTATAAGTTTAACGCTGGGATAAACCGTCTTTGGAAATGAGGTCTGCTTTTTACTGAAGCTGCTTTACTGTATTTAGTAAATGTCTTTAGGATCTGTGCTCAGTCCAATGGAAATTTTGAGTTGCTACATAGTTCTGCAACTAAACATTTTTGACAGAACCAGAGAGTTCAGCAACCAAATTAATTGGTAGTTTTGTATTTCCTAATCAGCTCTTGCCTCACCCTGTACATGATGATGTTCCTTGCAGCCTCCTCAGGCTGAGGGTTGTCACATCTTTTGCTGCATGTGGCGTGTTTCCTTTGAGACGACTGACATTTGCCGGTTTTAGTGCTGTGGAGCTCTCGGTGAACTGATGTATCTATATGTAAAGCTAGGTAACCAGGTCTTTTACCTTTCCTTTCTTAGAGACAAGCCGGGATCGCTCTAACTCTCCTCCCCCGCTTCCTGAAAGAACACCAGAGTCATTTGTTCTTGCTGATGCAGCAAGTAAGAGACGAGTTCTTTTCTTGGCGTGTAACTGAGACGTTGTACTTACACCTAAACCTGTGGGTAGCTGAGGAGACCGTGGCCCACTTGTTCAAAGCATTGCCAGTGGCAGGGCTTTGGGACTTAACCGCGGCAGAGTTCAGCAGACATCAGGAAAGTAAAGGCAACTAGGGGACCTGCTGGGCATTTCTAGAAGTGCCGCGTTAGAGGAAATGAAAAGCAACAACGAAGCACTTAGGAAAAAGCAGGAGAATTCTTGAAGGGCCACTGAAAACGTTCTGATGCATGTTCCCAGGTCTGCAGCCTGCTGCAAGAAATTCTGTGACGAGTCCTCAGGGCTTGGAGAACAACGCTTCCAAAGAGCCTTCGAAAGAGACTATGAAATGCTTCAGGAGAAGCAAGGTAAAAGAAACAAAAGCTATTGAAAATGGAGGGGGTGAGAAGAGAGATCGTTCTAGCTACAGCTATCGCTGCTCTCTCACCACTAACCTTGTGAAAATTGCCTGCTTTGAGACCACTCGTGTTTGGGCAAGGAAACAGGACTAATAAAAATACTCTATTGTAGAGCTGCAAACAAAACCAGTCTGCGCTAGGATCAGAGTAGCACAGCTGTTCCCTGCGAATGGCTGTGCCCCGGCACCCCGTCCACCCGAAGTGCCAGTTCTTCTTGGAAAAACTTGCTCAAGTGGAGCCTGAATTCCCTCGTGGGACAGACTGCTCATCACCAGTCCCCTCTTGTTGCGCCCCTAGTTAATTACCCTCAGGAGCAATTGTACTTCGGGATGTTATGGTTCA